ATTTCCCTAATTTTGAGATTTTCCCAACCAGTGCACTGATGAGTGTGGTGGGTTCAGTGCTGGCCAATCACCCATGCACTCACTTCTGCTGTGAGATAGGACTAGGAGAAAGGCAAAGCTGTTTTTGAAACACATAGCCCACAGGGTGTACACAGGAATTAGAAGCAGGGCTTGTTACAGGCTTTCCTGAGGAAGTCAAAGGGAAAAGGACTCCTGACAATTTTATCCATCCTCCAGCTCTCTGCTCCATGTCTAGGATAGCCTTGGAATTTTGATTTCTTCATTTCTAATTATGCTATCTCTATATATATGAAAACAGACCAGCATAACACCATGTAACTTTCTAACCCACTTTGCTTTCTCTGTACTACGTTTCTCCTAAAAAAAAAAAGCTTTTCTTAAAAGTAACCTTTATAGTAATGCATATTAATAAATTCAGGTGCTTACTAGTAGAAAGTAACTTAGAAGCATTTCAAATTGCAAAACAAGAAACCCTCAACAACTAAAAGAAGTTAAATTTACAAGTGAAGGCTATTTTTTAGAGATAGTGTACTCTAAATTTTAGTTAGACTATACAGATTTTTCAGGAAATTACTTATTTTGAGAGGGAGGGGAGGAAGAAAAGCAGAAGGCAGGAAAAAGAGACCTCGAAGTTTGCTCCTTCAGAGTGTAATGGTTTTCATTAGACACATGGCCATCTAACACAAGAGGGTGAAAATGCTAGAAACACTACCTCATCTTTAGGCAACCTCCTTTTGTGGCAGAGACTTCAGTAGGATTGTGAATGCTGTGTTACCTTTTGCTTTCCTTCCTTCTCTGCCTTCATATAGTTCTTGCCCTCCTTTGAGACCTACTGGTTCTCACTGGCCTCAGACAGACAGATCTGCTCTGCCCTCCTGTTTGACAGCAGGAAAGAGAAAGCCAAGGGGGGAATGCAGGCTGCCATCAATTCCCCACCTTTGTGCCAAAGCAAAGGGCAGCTATTCAAGTAGACACCAGGACAGCACAGAGGACAAGCAAGGCAACAGCAGTTTCAGGGGGATGGCAGTTTAGACTCACAATACTTCATCCATGTGAGTGGAGCACTGGTTTAATCATTTGTGCAGAAAGGGTAACAATCCCCTAAACACTGCAGAACTAACAGTGCGGTCTGGGTCACAATTCATTACCAGAAAAACGACCACAACTAACTAAACCCCAAACACAACCCGCTGCTATGGAAAAAAACTCCAAAAACATCCCCAGAAAGGCCTGCCCTGATGCAGCTGATTCATTCTGCAGGTCCAACCTGCTCAAAGCCAGACCCTGCTCAACACCAAAACAGCACTGGGCTGACTTTGTGCAGGGCTATATGAACCAGTCCAAATCACATTCCCTCAGCTCCATGGTATCAGCAATGTTTGGTGTATGCCATGCTAGCTTAACTCCAGAATAAGCAGGTACTGATGCTAGTTATAAAGCAACTTGATGCATTTTGGGACATTTTTGACTAAGGAAGCCCAGGAAGATAACAACTGGGTTTTTAAAATCACTTTTAAACAACACACTAATTTTCAAAGTTCAAATTAATTATTTAATCTTTCTTCACAGTTAACCAATCCTCCACACATTGAACATGGAAAGAACTTCCCATTTTGGTAGCAAAACAGGGAAGAAGTAAACAAGGTAGCTTTTTTATTCATTCTCCTGATAAACTCCAGAAGATTTTCTAAGCAAATTTCAAATGATGAGTTGAGATCACAAAGATTTGTTCAGCTACTAAAGCATGCTCACCATGGGGTAAAGGACAGCACTGCTTCCACCAGTTCTCTATGAGGAGAAGAAACACGTCCATCAAACCTGAGTGGGTCAAGTGTACACAGCACAAGAAAGGCTGTAGGACACTCCCTTTTTTGCAGTTTGAACATTTCTAAACAGAAATGTGGTAACTGAGAACAAACACAACTTCTGGCTCTCAAAAACCCAAGAATAGTTTAGATAAATTTCGGAACTAAATGCAAGACAACACAAGCCTGATTCTGTCAGTAAGGCAAGAAAGAGATCAGATGCATTTAAAGACAAAATATTGTATATTCTGAATGCTTGCAAGGATTTTTCTCCTCTACTAAGAACAATTCAATATGGCCCCTTAACTTCTGGTAAGCCCTACAGCATGAATGAGCATTACATTCTTTTTCCATAATATTTTCAGTTAAATAATGACTTCATTATATTTTATAATATATAAAAGAAACCTTAAAATAGTTATGAGTTCTTACTGTTTATTTCTCCCACTCATGTATCAGAAATACCAAGTCTATTCTTCATTGGTTATAAATGATGCCTGTGAAAATTTCAGGGTACAGTCGCTCCTGTTAGTCTACAACTGATAAAAAGCAGATGTGCTGAATCTAAATCCCCTCATTTATCAACCATTATATACTGAAGTTATAGATATTAATTCTTTGAACCATGCAAAAATACAACTCTCCCCCTGGAAACAGTTGGGATTTCAATGGTTTGATCCTGACTCATCAGCAGGCCAATAGAGTCTTAGAGTTTCAAAGCTGAAAGCCTTTCTTTTTCCATACAAAAGGCAAGAACAAAAAAACCCACCCACTTGAAAATCCCTTTCATGCATGATAAAAATGGCCATAACTCTATCAAAGCAAAAACAGTAGTAACATTTTCCATGAATTCTGACCAGAGAATTTTAACAATTCATACAAAGGAACAAAGGTCAGTATGCTGCATACTCTGCTTTTATCACTTCCCTACCACAGATAGACATCCACGGCAGGTCAAAAATGTACCTGTCCCAAAGAAGTGTTCTACCTCAGAAATATCTGGTTTATGAATCAAAAATTGTCTGTGAAGAGCAAGAAAAACCACAGCACAAAATAGAAGAATATGTTTTCTTGCCTCATTTGGTATCAGATTAACATAAAACCAGAAATGGTGGGAGGAGGGATGTAAAGGTTGATATGAATAACCACCAGCTGTTACCAGCATAAGATTTTCCCACAAATTCATTATTACAGCTCTCCTCTGCTGCAACTTACAGCAACTGATAAGTTTCATGTGTTACCTGCTCAAGAAGCTGCTTCTCAGCAGAAACATTTATACCAAATTACTTGATAGTTATATTTCTCCAAACAAAACTGGATAGGTTTCTGTTCAAAAATGTAAATTCAGGACATGTCTTCTAAGTAATGCTATCACTCACTAAACAAATAACACTTCCTGTAATTAAGAACTGAAGAAAATTGTTTGAAGTTGCACAGAAAAAACAATCTGCAGATGTACCTTTACTTACAAAGCAGTTATCACAAATGCTACTTTCTTTTCTTTTTTGTGGTCATTTATTCTGTTTCACAAAGTGGTTTAAAATTATTACATCTCAAACGAAAGCCTATAAAAACATATTGAAAGATACAACATGCTTAAAAAGAGTTTTCTTGGTTTCACAAGCTTTTCTTGTTTCTCCTTTATGAAGAATTGAGAAATTAAAATTAGCGTTTGAAAGATTGCTTAAACTTCTCATTCAGGTGTCAGATTCCACAGGTGCAATTTCTCATTAAGTACAGTGAAACCTGGAAATCAGCTTTGCTAGGCAACCTCCGTTCTCAACATTATAGAGAAAAACAGAAACATTCTCCTTTGCCTACAACTGAAAATATTTTTAGACAAATAATCAACTAAAAGATAAAGCCTAAGATGAGCACGAAAACAACCCATGCTGTTTAGCTGTCCTCTTACCTTAAATATTGAGGGTATCAAGATTCTGTAACTTCTGGTTAAAAGAACTTTAACCTGTACTGTTTCATTTTGGAGGTATGCATGGGCTTCCTCAAGATCTTACTACTCAAATGGCAAATTAAGATAGTATCTTAATTTCTAACTCTCATCCAATTAAATAAAAAATAGAAAGCAGAGTTTCTAATAACCATTCATCTTCAAAATTATCACTAGAGTACCTTTAATATGAAAGCTAGTACCACTAAACAACAATGAAAAAAAGCCACACATCCACTAAACACACACATTAAACCAAAACTAACTTGGAACTTTCTAGGCTAAACCAAAAGCATGGTTCAAGTCCTCTTACATTCTAACGTTCTTTTTAATTTTTCGTATACATATATGGGAAGACCTTAATTCTAACTGTTCTGTATTTTGTCTCTCAACACAGAATAAACATCTTCATGCTTATATTAAAATGCTTTCATAAAATGAATTTACTAGAGATAATATAAATGACATCTTCAGGAGATCAGAAAAATACAATGACAGCAGCATGATCACCCATGTCAGACAGAAGTTACTGAAATACAAAAGCTTTTTAACTTACAGGTTCTAGAAATCTTAATACAGAAGATATTACAAACAAATGTTTTATTTTGCACTGTAATACTGATTCATACCATATGCGCAAAGTAAGAACACTAATTAAACATCTTGCTCTGAATTATTTTGCTGACTTTTCCAAGTCAATATTTATTTTTGCTGAAGTCCTTGTGAAAGCCATAAAGCAATTTAGAGAGAAAAGTAAAATTATTAAATCTACTGGACAACTTTTTTTTAAAGATTACTTATATTGTTTGCCAGTGACAATCCATAAGCATTAACTATAGGAGACAATCTCTTAGGTATGGTCCAAGATAGCTAATACTGAATACTTACACCCCAGGTGTCTCCCAAATAAAGACCATTTGCACAAAAATACTCTAGACAATATTTATGTATTTTGATTTGTTGCTAGTTTTGGTTTGTTAAAACAGAGTCATGACCCAATCTAATTCCTTGAATAACTCCAGGCACCTTTGAATTATCACCAAAATTATTATTTTAATTTAAAAAAAACTATAAACCACCAAACCCATCAATGCTTTCCATTACACTAGACAAAAATTCTGCAGAACAATGGCATTTTATATCTCATGCAATAACTGAAATTTGAAGAAATTATTTATTAGCTTGTTCAACCTGAATACAATTAATACTTGATGTGTTGTATTTACCATTCTGTAATCCCATCCACAATTGCTTATGATCCTTTTTTTGCATTTCATTGATGACTTGACTTTTGTGCTTTAAAGCATCTGCTTCTTTTATACAAGCCATAAAATGAGCTTCAATCACATCCTTAGAATGGCAGTGTAGAAGATCCTTTTCTGGAAAATTCTACAAAGATAAATGATAGATCAAGAAAAATAAATGCAACACATACCTTGTATGATGAAGAATAAATGACAATTTTAAATAGGCATACATTTATGCAAAAGAAGCACACTGGAATCTTCTACTTACAGGAGAATGTAACAACCATTCTCTCATTGTGCTGACAAGACACAGGTTGCAGTGAAAATGCTTCGGAAAAAATAAAAGCTCAACAACTTTCTGTAAAACCAGAATTTTAATATGTTTTCAAGCAGATATTTAATCTCAGACAATAAACAGGAGAAAATGATGAGAAGCAAGTGACAGGCACCTAATATATACTGGCTCTCTATAATATTTTATCAACCATTTCTAAGTAATTCCTTGAAAACCAAGCAGAATCACCCACATATATGAACTGTAGCATATCTGCCACTTACATTTTTCCTTAGTGACACTGGAAATCTTTGTCAATTCCAGTTTCAGCTAATCCACGTGACTACTGCTAGCCTGTGTGACTCGATTTTATACCCCTTTTGCTTGGTTACACTGCCACACAGCATTCAGCATTGCAAATGCACAACTACCACTCCTCAGACAACTCTTAACCCTTCAGTAAATGACAACTACCTCTCCTAACGAATTTATTTAGCAGTTATAGCACTATATCTCGTTCAGACACAAAAACCATTTATTTGGAAATTAACTGATCTGAAGTCCAGCGTTGTAGAGGTTGTGGTTTTCCTGCCTCCAGTTCTTCTTTTATCCACACTTACTATCACTTACCATTAATAATAACACAAGCATTCACTACTACAAATCCAGTGCCTTTAGTTTTCAGAAGTTTCAAAACTCACCTTTATTCCCTCCTTATTAACTTTATTTTCACAGTTGCTTATGACCATGCAAATGGAGCAAACCTCAGAGCCAAACCAGAGTGGTGGCATCATCAGTACTCCCCTTCCTACCAAGGGTTTGCCACATGTTCATACTTAAATCATCAGGCTATTCCACCAGAGACCCCTTTCTCTTAATCCATTACAAAGTGGCACTTTAAAAAGCTTTTGTGAGGGACTGTCAAAACCATTTTGGAAATACAAGTACATATAATGGGATATTTTTCAAAGGCTTTTACAACATAGTTAACATGTCAAAGTAGGAGCAATCTAATGCTGGGAAAAAAACCTATCATCACTCCCTCACATAATCCCAAGAAAAATAGTGAAGACTGCTTCAAAATACAGAGACCCAAAATATCAAAAAGGGAGCTAGGGATTGCCTTACCTGAAAGAAATTCTGAGGAAAACAGTGATAGTTCCCTCCTCATTAGGTTATTGAGAAGAGTTGGAAATTAAATAATGGAATTTCATATAGCGTTTCCTCCTTATGACAGTGAGAACCCAAACTCTGGAAACTGTGGATCAAAAGGATGAGTATTTTCCAAAAACAGGGGCATAAAGAAAAGATTGCCAATATCTTTTCCATTAAAGTTTACATGGTTTGATGTTGGATTTGCAAAAGGAAGTGCTGTTGTTTGGACTGGTGTATGTTAAGCTGACTAGAAAGCTAAGGACAGAGGTAAATCTGTTTTCTTACGTAAGAATGGCCAAGTATAAAGACATTAAAGACAGAACAATAAAGAAAGTTCTTCTGGGGCAGACCTTGCTCCTGTTCTACCCTACAAAGCTGAGTATCTCAGCATAACTGGGCCCAAGATTACTAGGAAAACATTACTGGGACTGTTTTTTGCCAACTGACATCTGCATAGGCCTGTAAAATACTTTCAGAAGTTCAATTTACTTGCTCAAATAAAAATGTAAAGTCTTGTAACCAATCCAGAAGAAACAAATAGAGTGAAATAGCATAGTTAAAGATCAAAAAAGATCTTTACACACAAGAATTCCAAGTGAGACACTGGCATCCCTCAAAACAAAGAAACAGTGGTATGTACCTAATGCCAAATAATATAAGAACCTAGAAACTGACTTTCCTAGTTAAAGTGATGTCTTCGCTAAGTTTACGAAAACAACAGTTTTGTTACAACAACTGTTTCACTACACATGTGTAAATATTGAACTGCAGGGTCATTTTTTTAGACTTTTTTTTCTACAGGTAGACCTCTTCCTGCTGACATTTTTCCAATGAATTTCAATTTGCAGCTAATGTCACTCCCTGAGGATAAGTTCCAGAAATCATACACAGTGCAGTCTGCAGAACAGCAAGGATCTATTTAAAATTGGTCAAAGCTAGTTAAGCTACTATAAAGAACCTAGACACAGTAGTAGAATTAGTTGTGGCAAGACTAATTTTCCCAGCTTCTAAGAAGTAACACTGTGAAAGACTGGAAAACACTCCTGAACCTCAGTGCTGTGTATGTTTTTCTTCAGTAGGAAAACACTGACACATTTCTGTGAAGTACTGTAAGTAGAAGCTGAAAAACCTAAACATGAAAGTGACAATTTAGAAAAAAACACTGCACACCTGCAAGAAGTACATGAAACAGTTTCTCCTACATGAGACTGTCAACAGAAAACACGGTATCCCAGCTGATTTATCCATCAGGGTACAAAAGAATGAGTTTTATACTTAAATGTAGATCATGTGTGCTTGTATTTTAAAAAAAAATTCTACTTGCCTTTCTACCTGAAGAAATACTGATCAATTATAAATAACTTTACTTAGTTTCCTGAAGAAAGGGACAATTGTAAACAAACTGGTTGCCAAACCTGGCTACACAACTAGGAGATTTGCAAAAAGTATTAACAGATGACAAAAGTAGCTTTAATTCAAGTACTCTCATTAGTGGTGTCTTACTCCCTCCATGTCCTGCATCTTTGAAAGAACAGTTACTAAGGGCTGACTCTGATTTTCTTAGAAAGCTCAAGGAGTTCTGTTTTTTCTTTTCACATACCAGTAGACCCTTGCAGTATGAACAGGTCACAAAGAAATAGGTATTGTCTGTACAGACAAGAGCACTAAATGACCTCTCGCAAAAAACTGTACCAAAAACATCACTGGCAATTTCAACAGTCTGGTTTCATAACTCCATTCCACCCATATTTATCTCTCAGTTCTAGTTCACAAAACATCTGTCTATCCTGTGACAGTCTACTTGCATTAGACTACATTTACAGAAAATGGCATTCAAAACCATAAGGAATGTATCCAGTGGCAGGGGGTGCACCTATGTATTTGTGTTTAGTTACTATCAGTGGTCTTTTCTTTAAGTAGACTGATTTAAAAAAAAAACCAAAACATTTATACTTCTGGCTTCCACAATATCTCCTAGCAGTTCCACAATTGATCCATATGCTACATGGAAAAGTACTTCCTTTCCATTCCACCCGACCCATCTTCACCTAAAAAACCACAAAGATGATGACTGTCACACAAGGACAGACACTGCCTCTCCTCCCATACATCAGGTCATGTATGGGTGGAGAGGCAGGCACCAGCAGACAATGGCTTCAGCAGAACTTCAGCATTTGCCCTGGCACACACAATTTCCTCTCCTCCAACACTGCTGCCATCTTATCTACTGCCCAAAATCTGGAGAGGTGATTACCACACAGAACTGAATAGTGTTAAACAAGCCGCAGAGTAAGGTGAGATGATTTTAACAGGAAGGGGTAGAATTTCCCTCCTTCCTGTAAAGCCACACCTGGATAACAAAAGCAACTTTCCAGGCTACAGCCTCTCATGATTCTCAGACCCCTGTATGCTGTTCAGCCTCATCCTTCTGCAACTATTTAATGCAACTGTTTTTCAACTTTACAAGATACAATGCATGTAATTTTATTGCATACCAGAAGTACAAATTAACAAACTGTTTCTTCAGTGCAAAAACTAACTGTGTTTATGATTTGGTCTGCGTATATAATACAGGAGGACAATTACAATCATCTATCAACTTGAAAACTTCTGCTGAACAGAAATAAGCCTTTTCCATGTTTTTAACTTCAAACAAAGAAACCTGATAGGGGGAATCTGACTTTTAAAAAGAAGTTGAAAAACACATTTTACAGATGTTTGAGATATCTGTTGTTGACTGCATGCATTGGTAGAAGAAAGGAGACAGCCACAACAACAAAAGTTAAACTCCATAAAATCTAACACTCTTTGATTAAGCCAAATAAAAATTACAACTCTTTGAAGAATAGCTACACAGAAATGAAAAGAATACTCCAGTCAAAATCCAACATCTAAACTATTCAGCTGTAAGGAACTGTAACACATGAAAACCTCTTCAATATTTTGACATACTTTGATATCTTTCAGTTATGTTTTGACTTAAGGATTCAGAGGGGTTTTATTTAAATAAACTTTCAGATTACATCAAAATAGGAAGAGAGATTATGCAGGTGCTAACTCCACAGTATTATATTACTAAATTACATCAACTTTTAAAATAATACTACCTTAGCAGTTAATTATTTCTGCTGATCTTTAATGTATACCTTTCAGAAAAACTAAAAGTAGCTGATCTTTTGGCAAGCAGAAACATGGACATTAAAGCCAAATTTATGCTGCTGATTAAAAAGTGCTGTGGTGCTGCAACTTCTCAAGATGCCTCTACTTTGTGATGGCAACATCCCCACATTGCCACTGTTAATATCCCAGAGCTCTCAGAACATAACAATTAAACCATGGTTTATGAAACTAGACGCCCTACATTTTCGTCAGGACATTCTGGAAGTTTCCTCATCCCAGGTCTCTGACATTTATCAGACAAGTGTAGCAATTACAGCCGTTTCAAAAACATCCCCAACTTCAGATCTATTAAGTCAATCATTTTAGAAGTTTCAACATGTAGAAATACATATCACAATATGTATGCTTTCAGTGTACACTTCCAAAAATATTCAGATTACTGTTGGAAAAAGCTCTTCTCGCACACCTTTGAGAATTGTTTCAATGAAAACCTTCAAGACAAGTGCTTCCCCAATACATTTTTCATTTCACTCAAATCGCTCATGCACTAAAGTCAAACCCATTAATGTAGTGCTGTCCTTCACATCAGTTTTCTTACTGCACTATTTCTTTTACAATGGAGAAATTAACATTTCAAAGTTAAATATCATGATTTGTAGTTGTGCTTTTGACTTCAAAACATACTTGGAATTATTGTCTCAATGCATTTCAGAGTATGCAAGAATCCTGCACCAAAGCTAACTTTGTTCAAGTTCCATTCTGAGCAAAGATCAGTAGTGCTATTAAGCCATACTTAATGAGTTTACAATGTATAATCAAAACAATGTCTCTCCTGTGACTAAGCTGTCACAAGACCAAACTCATTTCACTCAGGTCTCTAAAAGGGACCAGCCATGCTGAAGTCAGCATTCCCTGACTTCAAAGATTTCTACAGCATCTCATAACCATGCTCACATGTGCCTAGAAGGATGAGCACTTCTCAGTCTTCCCAATCTTCAGTGAACTCAAACCAATTAAATTGAAAACATTGTAAAAAGTTCTTTTATCATAAGCCTCATGACATGAAAAACAATTTTGGATTTTGAGATTATTGAGAATAATTTTCTACAGAAAGTCCAGTAAAAGCACACAAAGTCTCAAGGAAAATAGCTGCAGATTTACAGAAACCTTTAAATGCTTCCTGAACAATGGATATTCTCCCTTTCAAATCACACCATTCACATATTTTATAAAATAGTTATGAAACCTTTTTCCAGCTTCCAAATTTCATGCAATCTCATGCTCACTCATTCTTAAGACAAGGGTCTATATCAATTTACCTTGAAGTGCACTGTGATGCTCCAAGGAAGGGCTGTATTTGATGCATGGAGATCAAAGAGCAAACCAATTGGGTAATGCCTAAAAATCACAAGATATTCATTTAATATAGAAGCCATGCATTTAATTCTATGTATCACAGTTAACATACCTGCATTTACACACACATACACACAAAATAGCTGTTTAACTCCCACAGTTAGCACTATTTATTGTTTACATAGAAAAGTTATACAGGCAAGTTCAGATGACTGACAGGCAGAATTAAGTCTGGAATGTACAAGTTCAATATCTAAACCAGTGGTTTCCAAGCTGTGCCCACAAAACACTGCTACTTTTGCAACAGCCTTAAGTGGCCTACAGCTGCTTTGTGGAACCTTCCAAAATAGCACTTTTAGTTCAAAAGCATCAGACCAGGAAAAGCACACATGCTTTCAGATGCTGGAGTGTCCTGGGTTTATACCATGCTGACCCTTAATATCCTCTCCTTTTTCCACATATCTGATATAGCAATGCAGAGAATAAGTAGAGGAATAAAAAAATTACATATCTGTAAAAGGGCTGAAAGATGATAGATCAAGATCAACTCTGTATCTTTACTATCAAATTAAGAAGAATGAAAGGGGAGGAAAAAATTAATTGGAGTTTTGTATTTCAATGGCATTCTAGATTAAAGGAGTTACCCAAAAAAGCTTGCTTCTGACAAATACTCACTTCTGTCTCATAGCTTTCTCTCCTTTAAATTCATTAGAATATACAGCCCCCAGCAGTATATGAAACATATATCACACACAAAACCCCCACAGGCACTGTAAAAAAAGCTTTTTTCAGTTTTCTTACACACAGATATTGGCAAGATTTTTGTATTTTTTTTTTACATTCACCATACCGAGACCCATTCTCTTATCAAAAAGCTTTTTTCAGTTTTCTTACACACAGATATTGGCAAGATTTTTTTTTTTTTTACATTCAGCATACCAAGACCCATTCTCTTATTTTTCAAAAATCATAACCCAAAGAGCCTAACTAGGTTTTCATCCTACAAAGAGAGAAACACATGCTGAACTGTAAAGTCAGTAGTTTCACTGAACTAAATGGGACTGATCACAGGTCACAGACCCAAGCACGTACATAAGTTTTGAAAGTCCCAAGAGCACTAACTGAGAGTGTTGCTTTAACAGCACCTGTGCCAAGCCACTTTCCAGATCGGTGAAACTCTCACACAACAGTGCTTTAGCACCCTCTACGGGTGAGCCACCCCAAAGCCAAGACAAATTCACCACGACAGCAAAATAAAACACAAAATACTACTACAATTCCTGAGCTTACCTGAGAATAAAGAGGATGCATATCCAGATTTATTCTGATTCAATGCTAATGCTCAAATTTTTACCATGAAGATTTTTATCTACTAACTGCCAATCATGTCCTAAACACTTAACAAGGTTTCAGCAAGAGTTCCATGTAATAGTGGTTTCCCAGGTGAGTTAAGTAACAAAGATCAGATTTGATAATTAGATGAACATAAATTTTCAATATGAACAATGACTTCCAGTTACTTTCAATTTATACAAGAAAACAGATAACTAAGAAAAAGAAAACTACAACAAAAAACCCATACGAAAACTCCTGCATCAGGTCTTGGCCTACATCTGTATTTTCTAATGAGTTAAGATAACATAGTGAAGTTCACGTAACCAAATTTTTTCAGTAAAATCTCTGTGCTTTGCAGAGTTAATGATGCCTAATTCAATGATGCTTTGACCTTTTGTCTTCTGCTAATTTATGAACAGGAATGGTCAAGCACCCATCCAGCTGGTACTAGAGAGCCACCTTTACAATTAGCAGGGCTAGAATGCCAACCCACACAAAAAGGACATAAATTCCACTGAAAGCCATGTGCAAATGCTCAGACAGGATGGAAACAAGCTGCAGGTGTCATCCCCTAGCATCTACTGAAGAAACTACTCAGCACAGAGTGGCATCACTCAGAGAGGGCTCCTGAGAAAGGCTGCAGCTCTCCAGGTTTCAAGCTGCCAGGAGAGCTTAGGACCTCTCCTGAGGGTTAGAGCAAGCAGAGGAAATGTCCTTGCCTAGAGGAGGTGCACACCAGTGAGGATCTATGTCACCAAGCTAAGAAGCTGCAGGGAGCCAGGGGTTGCTCAGCATCAGAAAGACATAGAGATTAATGGCATCTTCACCTAGATCTCACAGAGATGAGAATCTAGAGTATCAGCAGTCATTGAAGTGGTCAGTGGGGACTCAGAGGATGGGGAGAACCAGACTTGTGTGAACTCTGGTGCTGAGGAATCCATCCAGTGCCAGTAGCTCAGAGTGCTGCAGAGGGAGCTGCAGGTTGAGCTCTGAGTGATGGGAGCCGCAAACAAGAGGCCAAAGCTGGTGCTGACCCTTTGCACAGGAAAGGGCATGGGGCTCTGTGGCCCTGCCAGGTGACTGGACACTCAAGAGACACGGCAGGAGCCACTGACACAGAGGAAAAACCCCACACTGTCACACACAGACTGAGAGGGTGTAAAAGCCCAGGAGTTCCTTGGTTTGGGGTCCCTGCTCAGGGGCACCAGCTCAAGCTGTCATTCTGTTTTTACACCATGACCAAGCTCTTTTAAGGATCCAGATGCCTGAGGCTCTGCTATGGGAAACCGAGGTCGAGCAGGTAAGGAAACCTTGTCTGGCTGTGTGGGTGTGCAGGGAGTCAAGCGAGGCACCCATCGCTCCCAGAGCCGCCTGCTGCAAAGGGGCCTCGACCCAGCTCAGGTGCTCCAAGGGTGTGACTGCCAGAGCAGCTCCCAATGGACACACAGAAAACCTTCCTTAAACTCTGGCCAAGAGAGGGCAGGCCTTCTCCAGCCACTGGCAGTGCTTCAGTGTCAGACCAGAGGCTGGAAATTCTGAGGAAGCATGAGAGCTGTCTGAACAGCACATCCATCCACAGCCAGAGGAAGCAGCCACAGCCAGACTCCATCCTGCAGGGGAGAGAGCCCCATCTGCCAACTTCACTTGTTAACCTGCAGAGAGGGTTGCTGCTTGGTAAAAAGTTGCAGATTGGCAAAGTTGTCCTCTGCTTGGATTATTAGTCCTTGCTGTTTACCCACATGGGCACATACGATAAGTGCTGCAACAGAACCCCTGAGAGTATCAAAAGTGACTCTACAAGTTCTAGGGGCAAGGAGGCATCTCCACAACTTCGCCATTAAAGGAGAGAGGTTCAGAGAGGTGTCTGCAGGTCAGGAGCTGGTTATGCAACTGGTGCAACAACAAGGACTTACTCGGCTTTTACAGACATAGGATACTGTTTGGGGATAATGGACTGCTAGGGAAAGATGGAATCCACCTAAGTCAGACAAAAGTATCTTTGCCTTAAGGTTGCCCAGCCTGGTGAGAGCTTTAGACCATAAACAACAGAAGCGTAAATAACAACCCACAGGTAAACAGAAATTAATAGACATGGGTGGATAGCAATTGGTGAAAGATGATAGCTGCAAGGAAGATGTCAAAGTGATAAAAGAAGGGAGGAGAGAGCCTACCACAAATATCTACAGAAGTGCACATAGCTTGGGAAACAAGCAGGAAAAGTAGAGTTGCACATGCTGTGACATTACTGGGAGAATGTTGGGCTACCTGAGGCATAGTTAGACAGCCTACACAACTGGAATACTGCTGTGGAAGGACAGACATAAGCTGCTTAGTAAAGGCAGGCAGGGCAGAAGAGGACAGAGGGTTGTCTTTCATGTCAGGGAGCAGCTTAGATGTATGAAACTTAATAGGACAGACAACAGGTTGGTTGAGTTCTTGTGGTTCAGGAACAGAGGAGGGACTAGTAAGGGCAACAGATCATGCAATCCAGGTGAGAAAATTGATAAAGTCTTCTTTAAACAACTTAATAAGTGTCTACATCACAGATCCTGGTTCCTGTTAACCTCTCACATCTTCTGTCACAATGGGACACAAGTACACAAGCAGTCAAGATTTCTTGATGCAGACACTGGATGAACCAGAGATAACCTAAAGCTGAATGTGTTACTTATCTGTTAAGACAGAAGAGTTGTGATAACCAGTGGCAGCTTCAGCTGCAGTGACCATGAAATGGCAGAGTTAAAAGTCCTGGAGAAAGGACAGTAAGCCAAATACAGACTTATGACTTAATTTTTCATTTCCTCCTGGTGTCCCTACACAGTTCAGGTTCAGCCATATCAAATGCATTACTGAACAACACCTTCAGTCCTTTACCTGCAGCCAGAGCACTGAACCTGTGCTGTACTTAGAGAAATGCAGGTGTAGAAGGAACATTCCTCCTGTTGCAAGAAGTCATAAACTTCCAGCTCTTCCAAATCCTAGAAGATTGTTTTCTAATCCAGTAATCACAGTCTTTGACTGCATCTCCTTCATTGTGGTTGTAGGTTTAATCTCCTGTAGCTGCAGGAGAGTCTAAGGTTTCATCCATTTCCTTCTGTAGTCTCTAATGCTGCAGTCTCATAATCTCTTCCTGAAACTCCTCACCTTGGTGACACAGACCCTCCCCCAGAGCACACCTCCTGCAGGCAAAGAATCCATCTTCCCCAGTCCCAACTCTCAGCAGGACCAAGAACCAGGCCCATGTAACTTCAGGCCTGGAGGGTTTGTTTTCTCTAAGAACTTGACCCAAGCACTGCAGAGCCTGAAGTAGAAACTATGTTTCAGACTTCCTCCAAAATCTCACTGGAAAATGGAAGAGCTGCATCTGAACAGATACAGACTTCACCCCAACTAGATATGAAACTGCATAGACTGTAAACAATAACACCTCATAGTAAAAAAAGTAAAAGTATTTACCTCAAAGAAAATAATTAGAATAAACAATATTATTAACAAGTTCTATTTGATTCTGAATGCACAAGTCATAGCTTAAAAGACTAAACATTAATGCTTGCTATTCTTTCTCTACTGACTACTAACTCAATCTAATTCTCAGTTCTGGTGGTTGAGTCTTCTCCAGAAGAAGCTTTGGCTCTCTATGGGATTACCATTCTCCTAAAATACTGGTTTACAAATAGCACTTTCCTTAGAAAAGCAGTTCCACTGAAATCAGTGGAGCTGGTTCTGGCAGAATAGGCTTAGTTTTTCTGAAAGATGAGAGCCTTAATTAGCAGATCATCATTAGACTAACTATTTTCATTTCTATGTTCAATGAATTTAATAACTCTTTACTTAATTTTAGAATTAACAGCTACATTTTTAGTCTATACCTATATTGTACAGGGTTTTTTTTTATATTGTACAGTTTTTTTAAATTCTAGTTTAAACATCATGGTATTTGAAAACTTAGAGAAAATATGGGTCTATTTGTGGTTGAAGTACAAAGCCTCTCTCTCCTTTCTTGTTACAACTTCAGTGAAAACTAGTTTTCTTCCAATATTTACCTGGGATTATAAACAATATTTACCTGGGGTAAATGTGGTACCTTTACTGTTTATTTAGGTAGTATCCATGACTCAACATTACCGTGGCACATAAGACACCATTTCTTGTTAAATTCCACATAATTTATTTATACGTCTAAAGATGGTTTTGCCAGTCAGTTATAATAAAAGCTTAAAGAGATCGTTTTTATGGGTTTCTCTTTACATATTTTCAAGGTTTACACTAGGTTGGTCTCAAAGAAACAAAAGACTATGAGATCTACTGCATTCCATGACGTGATGTTTGCTAATCACAAGACAATCCAGGTTCAGTAAGATGAAAAAAAATCAACTCATTTTCTTTCCTATGATGATACAAGAAATAAAAAAAGATAAAAATCTCTTCATCATTCAAAATACTATATACCTTCTGGATGGCTGATACTATCTATACAGAACTAGGAAACACTGCAGCTCTCAATATTTCCTTTAAAACTTTTAACAGCAAAAGAAGTAGAAAACCCGATGGAAAGTATTTATGAAAATTAATTAAATGAAACAATATCAGTCCAAGTCCCAAACCTCTCACAAAAAAACCCCCAACAAACTAAAAACCAAAAGAAGATTATTTTAATAGACTACAGGAGAAAATAAAACCAGAATAAACAGCAATTAGTTCAGTAAACTTGAACTAATTGAATTCAACAAACACTTGCAGATTAATATTAAGATTTTTTTACAGTGCAAGCACGTATCACACCAGTGAACAGTGAAGGCTACTCATGTTTTATTACCGTGATGCATATAAGCTATTTGCATTCAGACTTCAGAATTATTGCTTCCTATTTGTGTTACTAGATACCTTTAGGAAGGTAGAATATGTTAAAGGAAGATTTATTTGGCAATTCTACTGCGAGCAACGGTGAAGCCAAAACCACAAGCATTCTGAATTATGGTAACAACAAGAATAAAACCAGTAAGTGCAGCACAACACCTCTGTCTTACACATACAATAAAAATTCAAGCAGAATAATAAAAAATATGTTCATCATTAAACCTTTTGTTTTTCCCCAAAAACATGCATTTTGCTATCTTTGAAGCCCAAGGGAGTGATTACTTTAGGAAAACTGACACTGTGCTGAACCTGAGAACTCTCTATGTGATAAACTGCATAAAGTACAAAGTTCAATAAACTCACCATTTCAGTGGTGTACCTTCGTATTCAAACCATATTTCACTAACTTCCTCCTGTCTCATAACTTTCTGAAAGTGCTTCTTCACTTTGTCTGTTACCAGTGTCAAGTAGCTTATTCTTGGCAAAAGCAACTGAAAAAAAAATTACAGAAGCTTTAAGTGTAAATAAAATACACTAAACTAGTAAAAATCTGTAACAAGTATGCATTTTCATAACAAAAAATTCAGTTAACATTCTTTTCTTCCTCTTTTTAAGGTGTGACAGTTTACTTTTTAATGGTCAGTGGAAGGCCATAAAATTATGTACTCAGAAAATACAGAATAGTAGTATCCAATATATTAACACCAAAAAAAGTAAAAAATTAAGTTCTTGATTCTTTCAGTGGGGTGAGGGGAGAACAGTGGACCTCAATTTCTGCTTTTCTGTACTTAAATAATGAAGCTTTAAACCTTTTTTATATGAACACATAAGAAGAGATTGTAACTTCTTATTGAAAAGCATGAGCAACTGTTTATCAGCTATTATTTCAAAATGGAAATCCCTACACAAGGAAAAAACCAAAAAACAATGAAAACTAGATGCTTAAGGGTTTGATTTCCAAGTGTTTTATACTTCCAATAGCTGTCAATTTTCATTTTCTTTGCACTGGGTTTGCTATTTCAACCTATTAGTCAAGACTACTATTCTTCCACTATTTAACCTTCACCCGGGAACTGAAATCAGAAAGAAAACTGTAAGTATTTTATTAGCTGAAACAAGACACATTCTTACAGCTCTGTTACATACTATCTTCTTTTCTTGAGTGTATACTATCCAAATCAGAATGTTGTGCTATTTTTATTTGCAACATTCTCTTTTTTTAAAGAGTTATGCCCAGGAGTGGTTATGCACTCTGTATCAATCAGTGAATTGAGTGATAACTGTGTGCACATTCACTAGAGGTAAATCAATCCATAAGCATTAACAAACAATGCTTTTCAGCATTTCATCTCAATGAGTAAAGATTAACCTCCCTGTAAAATATCAATTCGCTTTAGAGCAGACATTTTAAATGAATAGTATCCATCCTGTAAAGTTCTACTTCATAATTATTAATAAAATAGATGGGCCTAAGGTATATATAGGTTATATTTTGCATGTTTAGAGAAACGTTTCTTTTCCAGTGTTCCTCATAATCAGTGCTGTTTCTTAAAGTATTTTCTTTATAGTATATGAATAATGCCAGGCCTAAGTGAATGCCTGTGGTAAAGGCATCCTAAACCATGTAAGGATATATTTTGCCTGACAGAAAATTTGATGTCTGCTGCAACATTCTTCCATAATTTCTCCAATAACTAGACCACACTTTGATATATAAATCAGATAATATTTTGGCCATGATAATACAATTTGTAAATACTCAATTAATAAAGAAGTATGGAGAGTACATCAAGTTCCTGGAAGAACAGATTCATCTTTTTGATAATGCTGCATTACGTTACATCTGTGACACAGGTAAATGTTACAATTTTATAAAATTACATAAGGCCAAGTATCACCCCTGTCACAGTCATCATCATGTCAGTTAACACTCCATTTTTCATGTACCATATGGTTTTCTTTTTCCAACTGCTGTTTTCATTACCATCACCACATTGCTCCTATGAAACACAGTAGAAACAATGTAATCAAAACACAGCCTTCATTTTTAAAAGGCAAACTCAATAAATTCAATGAAGTTATGTACACATTCAAGCAAGAATTGTTTGGTACTTTAATGACTTGAATGACAATATAAGCTTATCCTTTATTTACCTAATTCCACATATCTTCACTAATTGTCCTTGAGACAATACAGTGCAGGCTATACCAATCAAACCCACATATTTTTGGCAATAATTTCATGTTGTTTCTGCATGATATGTACAGTTAAATTAATGCTGGTGTGCTCTGATGAGACTTACTAGAACTCTTATAAAAGCCAATTTTCAGCATGTTGCATGTAGCACAGCCATGCTGAAATTGATAAATACATCGAAGTATTATTTATTGCAACAGTGTTTGACACAACCCTTCAAACTGCGTAACTTCCTTCGTAAAATACTCTACTTCAGTTTATATTGTGAAAGAACAACCCAGTTTTTACTTCAACATAATTAGAGAACACAGACAATAACCAACTGAATTTAACAGAACATGGCCAGCACTCCCAAAATGCTTCAACAAAAACTGTACAACTGTACAAAACCCAACAGTTAATCACATTAACAGATTTCAGAGATGCTGAGCATTTGTAGAACTCTACTGAACTCTTTGTTTGGTCCCCCCAGTTCTTTTACCTTGATATAGTTATCCCCTTCCATAGGAGAAACCAAAGGATCCAATTCTACCACTTTTCTAGCTTTAATTTATCTAGCTTTTACTAATCTTAGAGATTTATAAGTATACTAAATCTGTTAAGTGAGATCTTTAAGAGCAGTTTAAACACATTTTTACCTTGTTACCCTTTTTAATATCACTTCCCCACCCACTGAAAGATAACAAGATCATGAGTTCTCTTCATTAAATTTTTTTACTTAAGAAAAGTAAATCTCCAAATACATCACTAAGTAGATTAAATCCTCACAGTCATCCCTAAATGCTATCCCCAAAAACTACACAAATCGCAACACCTTCCTTTTGAATATTAGGTATTGCTACAGTTTTTAATCACAATAACCAGGAATGTTTTCTTATTAACCAGGAGGTTAAATGAATAACAAAGAATTCCTAATGCCTACATAAATGCTTGTGATACAACTTCATGGAAAGAGTGCCACTCCAGGTATATCCAAAGGTTTTGTTGCACAGCATGCAGTATTTTTACATGAGAAACAATAAACAGAAAAGTTACAGACTTAACTAGAACTGGACTGGTCTGATCACTGAAGTGTCAAGGGAGATGAAATAAAATATCCTGTCGTGGAATGGCTTCACGTTGCTCTGTCCTACAGATATCTGAACAAAATAATACTTTTGACACCAAGCAAGCTAAAGAGTCATCCTGTTAAAGACCAGTCCCTTGGGCAGACCATCATTCTAAGACTGTATCTTACTGTAATTTTGTTCTTTATACATCTGACAAGTCTCAGCCAATGTGTCTCTGCTTCCTGTATACTTATTTCATCTTTTTCTTTCTACTTGTTGCTTGCAGCAAGAGTCAAACAGCATATCATTTTAAAATAAGATGCATAACAATTTTAGGATGAGAGAAAAATCAGACAAATCAGCAACAAAAGTAGTTCAAGCAAGCTGTTCCTAAATGTGCTGTCACTCAAAACATAACCATCTGCATGAAACACTCCAAAGAAAATTGATGTATCCATTTCTAGCATAACTGCAGAAACCTACCCTACATGACTCTATTAAGACACAGGACAGTGTTTTACTGGAGCTGCCCAGTCTTTATGTCACCACTCTTTCCAAAAGGCAGACAAGTTAATTTTATATTACTTGTCCTACCCCTGTGCAGTGCCAGAAGGTGATAAACACATGCTTCAACACTCCTGTGCTGCACTAACACATCTGACAGACAGGGCTCTCCTGTCACACCACTCACAAAAACCAAAATCCATCCCACAGACTCGGAGCTGTTTTTCTAACCCCTCACCCCCCAAGTCTACGTCATTCTTCATCTTCATCAAGCTAGTTCCTCAGAGCAGAATCCTTTATCCTCTCTCAACTTAATGATGCCAGCATTTCCTTCCCATGCAGTCTTTCCATTTATGAAAGGCAGTCTGGAATAGAGAGGTTATACTTACAAATAAGAGGGGCCATGTACAGCTGAAGAGCTGATGTCAAGGACTGGAAATGTTAACTACGTGTACTTTTCTACTTTACCCATAATTTTACTTTGATTTAGCTCAAGATTGCTCCCATACACCAACTGAAGCCCATCTGCTCCTTCAGCTTCACATGAAAATGATTCGACCCATGGGCTGAGTGCTCTGTGATACCAGCCTGGGCACAGGAAGGGGAAAGGATGAAGACTTATTTCAAACGCACTCCAGATCTGAACAGAAACATTAATGCAAACACACTCTGAAACTATCAGAACTACACCGTGACTTAAAAGCTTGATCGCTATTCTGCCTTATACTATTAGAAATCCTTGGTCCCTCCAAAGACACAAAACTGTATTACCAGCTCCAACATGAACTGAAAAATTAAGAAGCTAAAATTTTACAACTGTCATCCATGAATAACCACATTTTGCAGAAAGAAAAAATTAAGCATTGAGAATTTTTGTGCACACTTTACATGGAGTAAATAAAAGAAATCCTATGACCTGAAAACCATTTCCTTGACTTAGAAAGCTGGCCACACCACGAGGATAACATGGTTTCATGCTTTCCCAGCCAATGTTAAACAGATCAAGGCTGTAAGCCTCTAAATTTAAATCCATAACTTTCAAGTAGCTCTTACACAAAGTGTGCAAACGTATTTTAACTCAGATGTATAATTTAAAGTCTCAGACTTTTAGGTTAGATGTATTTGGCAATAGGTCAATAAATATGAAGCACAGTGCTTATCTTTTAGCAGTGATGAAACTAAAATATTCAAAGGTGAGCGCTATTATTGCTGAACATAAAGCACCAACAGTTTCTTAGGTTTCAAAACAACACATTCAGATGAGAAACTGATGACTCCAAGATGCTACTGAACACAGAAAAAAGAAAGTTCTATCCAGTGTGGAATGGGATACGATAAGGCTTGAGAATTTCAGAATCCCATAAAAATTAAAAGTTCAAGATTTCCCTCACATATACTCATTATATTTCAGATTTGCATTTCACTGAATCAGCTAACGTTCTTTCTCACTTACATGCCTATTAGGTGCTGAAAGAATGAAAACTGATGGGAACACTATAAATAAATAAATACATCATTATAGAAGGCACTTCCATGTTATAACTCATATACATCCATCATCCCTTTTTTATCATCAGCTAGCAATCCTGTTCAGGCAGTGTTCTCTTCAGCCATTACAGCTGCTTTCCTCATTTCTGAGCTAGATCTCTCATGGCTGGTGGACTTTAAAGAAAAGAAAATGAGCAGAAGTCATCCACAGAGCCAGTGTTCATTAGAAGTTTGTGTTACACAGGTGACCAAGTCTTAAATATTAAGACTTCATAAGTCTGACTAAATTATTTCTGCGTTAATAGAAGTTCTCTCCCTTTGACTGTTCATTATCCAAGAACATACAAACTCACATTCAGCCTCCTCCTTTGCCTAGTCACTCACTAACTTTCTCAGAATTTTTTCAAAGATCTTAAATTATCTGTGATAAGTTTCTCTCAGTAGTGACACAATTTGCTGCGAAGAAAGATGAAGTCACACAGCATGGTTGTATGTTTACTTTCAGAAGCTACCAGGAATAAGAAGAAAATAAGTGGGGTTTTTTCACAATATGCAGTAGTACGTGAAGAGAATGAAGGAAACAAACATAACCATGGCCTTGGACTATTTTTTTGTGACTACCTTTGTCATACTCACATAGTAGGGGTCAGCTTCCCTTTCAGTTATCTCATCCTGATACAGAGTGAAACAGGTCGGTATTCGCCCAAACCACACATCTCGAAGTACATCTTTGTCATCTGTCATTCTTCCAATGGACAGTGAAGCACATGTAGATCAATTTGTTTCTTCAGCTACAAACATAACCCATTCCCCACCCCCAACAGAGAAAACAAGTCAGGACGACTGCAAATAAAATACATCTTGTTAAAGGTTCTCCTGTAACTACGTTCCTGCAGGCTGCCCAAGGCTGTCAGCGGGGCACTAAATGCCTCACTTGCTACAAAGAACGGGATGAATTAAGTTCCCAGCTACAAACACACGGTAAGGGCAAGGAGCTACACACAAGTGAGCATTTCCTAAGGCTGCAGCACGCCCCAGCCGCAGAGCCGAGAGGTGCCCTCCCGCTACCGCCGGCAGCTCCCGGCGCGCCGCGCGGCCCCGAACCGAGCCGGGCACCGGCCCGGGGGCACCGAGGCCGCACGGCGGGCCCCAGCATCGCCAAGCACCGCGCTGACACCCGGCGGCGTCCGGAGCATGGACAGGCCCCGCGGGGTCTGCCTGCCTATCTGTCTGTCTGCCTATCTGTCCGTCCGTCTGCCGACCTCCCTCCCTTCCCTCCCTCCCTGCCGGCAGCCGGCCGAGGTGAATCAGCGGCGCTCCCGCCCCACGGGGCCGGGCCGGGCAGCGCGGCGGCGGCGGCCGCCCGCCGCGGGGCTTCCGCCCGGCCCGCGCGCCCCGCCCCCGCCGGCGCCGGAAGCGGGAAGCGATGGGGGCGGGGCCCGGCGGGAAGGGCGGGAGCCGGGAACCGGGAGCCGGGAACCGGGAGCCGGGAGCCGGGAGACGTGAGACCTGAGCCCTGAGCCCTGTTGGTGCTTGGTGTTGCAGCGCTGGAGGCGGAGAGCCGCAGGGCCGCCGCTGTACTGGACACGGCCATGGGCCCCCTTCTGAGGCATCGGAGCGATGGCCCGAGCACTGGGGGGTTTTGGGCACTGAATCTCTCTGTTTTCTCTCACCCCGTTGTTCTTTTTCTGCTTCCCCGAGGAAGTAGTCACAGCACCAAGGCTCACAGAGTTCAAGGAGCGCTTGGACAATGCTTTCAGGCACATTCCGTGACCTTATGCGGTGTCTGTGCAGGGCCAGGAGTTGGGACTCGATGAGTCCCTTCAAGACCAGAAGGGAAAACCAGTGGAAATTATTGTCTTGCAAACCTGGAATGGCAGGAGGCATGCACAGAACTGACCCCACAATTACAGAGACATCCAAGCGCTGCACATTTACTAAAGGCATCTCTATGTATTTCTGCAAGGAACCTCCTTAATGTTGTTAGAGGTCTCCTGAAACCAGTCTCAGGAGGATGCTCTGAGATGCCAGCACAGCCGGAAAAACAAACAAACAAACAAACAAACAGAAAATCCTGACCAAACAGACAAAAAAACCCCAAGATTTTTACAAAGATTTTTCCTCATTACATTATTTGCAAGCTTTCAGAAAGCTTTGCACATACGTGTATTCCTACAGGAAATCAAGGAGAACCACAGGGTTAGTCTTTGCCCTTTCCTCCTATGAACTCCTCAAAGCTCTCCTGTAGAAAAGGGTGGTTTTGGTAGGATGTATAGGCTGAAGGGTTTGATCATTGTGGTAGATCTTACCCACCGTGAGAGATGGAGCAAGTCCAGAGGAGGCCACAGAGCTGCTAAGAGGACTGGAGCCCCTCCCATGCAAAGACAAGCTGAGAAAGGTGGGGCTGTTCAGCCTGGGGAAGGAGAGAAGGTTGTGTGGAGACCTCATGGCAACCTTGCAGGGTCTGAAGGGGCCTCCTGGGAAGCCAGAGAGGCACTCTGCACCAGGATCTGTGGTGATAGGACAAGGGGGAATGGGTGCAAACTGACAGAGGGGAAATTTGTTTAAGGTATTGGGAGGAAATCCCTTAATGTGAGAGTAGTGAGGCAGTAGAATAGGTTGCTCAGGGAGATTTTTGGTGTCCCAGAGAGGTTGGATAAGGCTTTGAGCAAGCTGGTCGAGTGGGAGATGACCTTGCTTGTGGCAGGGAAGATTGGGACAGATTAGATAATATTTAAGATCCCTTCCAACCCTTCATATTCTACAATTCTGTGATTTTATACCATGATCACAGGAGGATGAGGAGTCCCTGTCGCCACCAGTGACACCTCTTGCATACCAAAGCATCGTTCTGGATTGGTTTTTATCAGCTCGGTAGGTGCAAGCCCACAGTGAATTCCCCCTCTGCACTTCAAAGAGCATCTCCCACAATTCTGTCGCTCTGCAAATCCCCATCTCAACGTCCCACAACTGTAGGAAGACCAATACAAGCGGTGGGCAACATCTCCCAAGGAAGATATGTATCCTGTGGCGCTACACACTAGCAGTTGTCAAAGCTGGGTTGTTCCGTGGCAAAATGCGCGCCTGCAGCTCGCAGCTCACAGCTTTGGTGTGTTTTGGCTCGCTGGGGCCAGAGCTGGCACGGGGTGGTGTCAGCGGGTGCACGGCGCAGTTTCAGCAGTGCCACGCTCTGGCCGTGCTGCTTTGTGGCCACCAGATGTCATGCAGTGGCCACGGCTGCCGAAGGAGTCTTCGGGAATTCGGGAACTAACCGCAATGATTACAGACTTTCGGTGGGGTTTACCCAAAGACTGGCATTTTAATAAGTTTGTGTGTTGCTGAGCCAGCAGTATGATTTGCAGAACTCTAGTATTTTTTCAGTCATCTGAAGGATTAGAAAAGCCTGAAAGGCTCATCTTATTTTTTTTTTCCAGTTTAAATGAGATCACGATGACCTCTTTTTGGTAAAACATAATATTCCAAACACGAGGCCTATTAAAAAAATTACCTATTTTGGTACTGCTCTATAGGCAAAAAGTTAAGCTACGGCACTTTTGTGATTTGGGACATACACAAGAAAGCTTTCCTTGCCTTCTCTCTGATTTTTTCTGTGACACATGGATTTAAAAGGAGGTAAACTGCTGTAAACCTGGAGAAAACTTAACATTTGGTATGGCCTACCCCAAGGACAGGGAAAGAAGGCACAGAGCACATGTGATATTGCAAGGGCTTTATGCTCTGAGGGGACCAGTTCCCTTACACTCCTGAATATGGGCAACTACACTCACCTTGCATGTGTTGGGCATGATGGTGGAAGGGAAGAGGCTCCTCCAGATGTATTCTCTGTGCACTCACAACAGTTTTAACTAGTGTAGATGGGGTGGAAACTATTGTCTTGTAAACCTAGAATGGCAGGAGACATGCACAGAACTGATCCCACAATTACAGAGACATCCAACCCACAAGCACTGCACATTTACTAAAGGCATCTCTATGTGTTTCTGCAAGGAACCTCCTTAATGTTGTTAGAGGTCTCCTGAAACCAGTCTCAGGAGGATGCTCTGAGTTGCCAGCACAGCTGGAAAAACAAGCAAGCAAACAAACAGAAAACCCTGACCAAACAGACAAAAAACCCTAAGATTTTTACAAAGATTTTTCCTCGTTACATTATTTGCAAGCTTTCAGAAATCTTTGCTCATATGAATATCCCTAGAGGAAATCAAGGAGAACCACAGGGTTAGTCTTTGCCCTTTCCTCCTACGAACTCCTCAAAGCTCTCCTATAGAAAAGGGTGGTTTTGGTAGGATGTAGGCTGAAGGGTTTGACTGATCATTGTAGCAGCATCACTAAAGGTAGTGCCAGGTCATTTCACACAGGCAGGGAGGAATCTGCAAGCTATTATCAGTGATACTGTTAGGATGTGACTCCTTCCTGATGCTGCCTGTGCTCACCTCCTGAGGTCTGTCTTAACCCCCACTACTGCAGTTCCTGAAGCACAGCTGGACTGTGCAATCAGCATTCTGTTGATTACTTATGACAACTACCAAGCAGATTAAACATTCATTTTTGCATGTTTCTCTTGTGCATAACATAAGGAACATAGGCACCTGACTCGGGCATATGGATTCCACTTCATAGACTGAAAACTGAACTCCATTGAGCGTCCAAGTCTTTTGCTGGATCTAGATACAAGAAGCCAGGTGGAGAACAGAACTCAGTCAAGTTATGAAAGTGAGATAGCTTGCTGTTTAAATTATCTTCCTATTTAAACATTGTGCTGGTGTAGTCACCAGCCACAGATACAGCAAGATATGTTGTCCATGTGAGATTTTATAGACAATTCTGTAGGTGAATGAGGCTCTGCTACTGAGACAAAGCTGGTTGTAGATAAACACCTAAGATATACTGTGACTACTGAACAAATATACTAAACCTGAAGTGAATACTAGCTTTGCTGTTATTATGACTATAAATAAAGAATCTAAATCTAACATTAAATGCTAGGATGTAATGTCAAAATAAATACAATAAAAAGAGAATTACCACTTTGACATACTCTTTTCCATATTGCTATCTAATTCTTTAAGTTGCACTGTCACTCTGCACAATGGACTGGTCTAAATTGGAAGGAGAAGAGCTCAACAAACATATTTCCAATTCCAAAGGTCCTCAAGCAGTATTCCCTCATTTTAAACGTCATCATCAGACAACACACAGTGAGTCATTGCCTAATGGCAGCTGAATCAAAATACCTGTTATTGAGTACACATGGAATGTGAAGATGCTTGTAACAAACAAGATTATAATTAAAGATGCATTAATTCTATTAAAAATAAGAGAAATGGAACAGATGATTTACATATTTGTGGGCAGTTATGTCTTTGTGTAATGGTAGTGCAGATGAAGATATGTAAGCAGAATCAGTGTATAATTTACATTGGAAGGGACCTGTGGAGTTCTTCCCTGACATCCAGGCCAACAGCCCTTCTCAAAGCGGGAGTAACTACAAAGTTAGAACATATTGGCAAAGGCAAATCATGCCAGCATTTGATTGCTGAAAAGTGACCTGAAATAAAATATTAAATACTATTTCCCTCTGTATTTTGCTAGAACTTGGATTACTGATATTCATTGCTTTGATTACATGGAATTAATTTAATGGTGCTTTCATAGAATTGGTATTTTATGTCACCTACACATATCACAAAGTAAGGTAGTTTGTAAGTATATAATGTATATACTTATGCAAGTTATACATACATGGATGTATAACAGATATCCGTAGCAGGTGGAGAAAATACTCCATTTATTCAGTCCTGGCTCCACTTCTGTAAAACTCAGACTCTATTAAATCATTGACAAAACACACAGATATGTGAACCTTTACCTGTTCCAGTGTTGTTTTATTAGCAAATGATCAGCAATCATTATTGCTGTTTTCCCTTCACTTCCCTAAGCATTTTCAGTAGAAAGCAAAACATATTTTAATTTTCTAGCTACTGTCTTTTGAGTGTGTAAACAAAACCAGATTGTGAGAATCATTAATGTACATCTTTTAATATGCAACAGTGAGTTAGAGTCAAATGAAACTCATAAAGCTGCTATTTATATCTAGCTAAATAGTTAATTGTTGCCTACTCCCAGTGAAGAGTCAATTTGATTAATTACATGAGAAGCTGATTCATTCATCTGACAACTTCCTGGAAATATTACAAGATGGCACTTAATGTTTTCCAGATACAATT